AAAAAAGGTCTTCATGGTCCTAGATTTAAGTTCTACATCAAATCAGGGTATATTCTGAGAAGGTGGTATGACAAGGGCCAAAGAAACTTAAACATTAGTTCACCTACAAAATCTCAACATTCTTAGGTCAGTCTCGTGTGGTGAAGAGTGGAATTACTTGTGATATTTGAAAAAATGGGTTTGATTGTGCTCCTCTCCCTTAGTGGCAGGACACTGTCTACTCTTCTCTTCTTCCAGCAGGTCAACCCAACTGCCAGACCACAATTCCCAGATTATTATCAGAGTACTGCTGCACACTGTGGCTTGCACCAAGAAAGGAAGGCAGCTCTGTGATGTAAGAATGCAGTTACTGAAAGCATCAGGAGAGAACACTGAATACATTGATAACAGAGGTGTTATTTCCTTTTCTGTCAGTTCCCAAAGCTCAGCCAGAATACTTCACATTCTCATTTTGCCCCTTTGCTTAATCATACCATGATTTTGCAGTTATTCATGAAACTACCTATCAATATTGAAACAATTCTGATAGCAAAGGCTTTAAACCCACCTCCATTGGCTCTTCTCCCCCTTTGGTTTGATTGTCGCCCACCTCTCCACTCTCATAATTGCTGCTTTTCTCAACCCACAATTCGGATTTCTCTACAGTCAGACGTAGCTGGTCAAGATCAGCCTTGATTTGCTTGTAGTTATCCACATCTTGATTGGACACCAGCAACTGAACCTGGAAATGGAGAAAATTGTAAAGCTGTTACAGCAGTAGCACCAGCACTTATGGCTGGGTAATTTGCTTGACAGTTCCCATTCCAAGCCTCTCTTTGCAGGTGCCTTGTGCAACCTTCCCTGAGCAATTGAAACATGGCACACACAGGCTTTTAGCCCCCATTCATCAAAAACCTTTAGCAGAGCCAGAGGCTGTAGGTGCCCAAAACAGGATAGTTACAACATTCACAACATCCTCTCACCTTCTTGAATATCCTGCAAAACATTTTCAGCACAGGCAGATTTACAGGCTCTTGAGTTGTGTGTAGAGTGAGCTCTGATGCACTGATCATGATCCTCATGGCATTAAACAACACAGTTACACACTATTAAAGCAATAGTTAGAAACAGCCACTGTGGGCATCCAAAAAAAAGGCAGAGTGGCCAGCAATTTTAATGATTTCCTATACCACTGTAATCAAATACTGAAAAATAACAGACTTTCACACTGTTAGGCCAGCTTAGAAAAACTTCCCTGAACATAGCTGGCAAACTGACTTTCAGGTTCCTGGAATTTCTCACCATCTGAGTAGTTGCCACTTATTAAGATTAATCTCACTTTTTCCTTTTTCTGTACTGCTCAAATTATCTGGGATTTTTCACTGTTATGTGTAGCTCTTGATTTAGCATGACCTACACATTTTCTTTCTTTGTAAGGCTCTCTGTTCTCCCAAGATTATTAATGAAGATAGTAGGCCAAAAACTATCAGCAATCTTTACAGTAAATTAATAAACGCTATTAAGAAATCACACTCATGTAAAAGATTAAGGTCATTGACAACATTTAAAGGGATGTTGTTTTTAAAACTACATTACATCCAGGCAAATATTCACTGTTTTGCAACATAAAGTTTTCATCATGATCATCCCTCTTGACTTGGCACAACCTTGTTATTTTACAGAATTTACGAGTGCTGCTCAACTGCAGGTATTCTTATTCCACGTGCTCTACAGTCTTTTTTGTTTATTTCTCCATTAGCCTTTTCCATCCTTCACAAAAACACGTTAAGCGACTCAGTCCTTGCTTACCTGGGAATAACAGCTATTTATGCAACTAACCAGCACAGCCTAACTTTAAATACCTGGTGGGAGGCTATTATGCTGCACAACAAAAACATTAAACAAAAGCTTTTCAGGTCTTTATCATTCATCTTTTTGCACAGGAGAGAAACGTCCCCACCTTACATAACAATGAGACAAACGCTCCTGAAATAAGCATCAGATGTTCTTATCAACATATGTTATAAAGGGTTACATAACACAGGCATCTCTGTCAGGCAGCCCCATGACATCAGATCTCCCCATCCTAATCCAGGGACACATGGAGCCTGCACATGCACTGTTACCAGAGGGACAGTAAAAGCTGAAAACAGGCTGGGCTCTACCTCTGCCTTCCTGCTATTTGGGCATGGCTGTATCAGGCAGGGGAGCCCCGTGCAAAGACACCTGAATTAGAATTAGAAGCACCAGGTGAATGACAAAATAACAAAACCCAGCCAAAGTGGCCCTGAAGACAGAGAAGTCTCACTGCTGACATGGGGACACTGCTTGCCAAACATGAGGCACTGGCTCTGTCCCTGAGGGATCCCTGCAAGAGGCTCACAACGGATCTAGGCTTTCCCTAATGGATGCAGTGCCAGAAATTACAAATTCTAGGGACACAGAACTATAATATACACCAGCACATACGGCCAAAGAAGTCTGCTGATACTTGACCTCTGAGGAAATAACACTGTCATGCAACAGACAAATTAAAATAGCAGAGCAGCCTTTGGAAAGGCTCCCTGCATTCAGTTTCCTGGGATAACACTCAGCCCATCCGTACCTGTTTGAATGCCTGCAGAACTTCTGCTCTCTGGCTGAAGTGTTTGAACAGCAGATGCAGAGCCCCTGAGAGCAGAGGAGGGTAGTCGTGCATAATGAGGTGAATGAGGACCCGTAGGAAAGTTCTGCCCCCTTCATCATCGAGCTGAACTGCATTCTTCTCCTTTCTGCAACAGAAATGGGGGAAAAAAAAGACCAAATAAAGTAAAATAAATAAGAAAAAAATAAAAGTTTTTGAGATAAATATGCCTCTATGCACAATCTTCACTTGACAGAGCTCTTAAATCAGACATGCTGCAGGAAGGAAATTATAAATATGATTTCAACATATTTTATAAGGGCTTCTATTCTACAGTTATTGCAGCAGTCTTGTAGCAGAATGGACACTATGGAGCAGAAGTAACTATCTATGAAATATGTCAAACATTGTGATTAAAATCTGTATTGTAAAAGCATTTATTTATGTTGTGTTGAGCCAGGCCATCCCCAATCCAAATTAAATGAAGTAAACTGCATTTCATCAGAGATTAATTTGACCCTTTCCTTTTCACTCCTTCCCTTTTCAACTGCTATTAAAATTTCATTTAAGAAAAAATAACATCAAAAATAGCAATGATTGCCAAAAGCATCATATTTCTGGAATCATATTCATAAAGTGGAACAGCAGAAAGCAGATTTACACTTAACATATCAAAGCAGAAATAATTTTTCCAAGAAACCATTCGGTCTCTCTGTTAATTTTAAAGATGCAGATGCCAAGGGCTGTGTGTTGTTTTACATTATGGGAGTTCAGGAGAGGCCTGGAGGCATTGCTTGTGCTGGTAAAGACTGAGAATGCATGAGGGACTGAGAGAGGAAAGATCACAGTGCCCACATTGTGGATCCTTATCCTCACCTCCAAGAAAAACTTTAAAGTCTAGGGCCTTGTCTAAATGGAATTAATTTTTACTGGTATATTTATAATTATAATTTATAATTATACCCATAACATTAAACCAATATAGTGATAATGGTAATAACTCTCCAGTGTGAGTGTTTTCCATGGGTTACTTTTTTCTATTCACAGTGTAGCTGAAATCCCATCCAAAACTCTGCAAGCATAAATTGTGATCTACAGGCCTCTGGTGGACCAGGAGATCATGGCAAGTGGTCCACCGCTGATCTGAGGAGTCACAGGAGAGATTTTACTGTTGGCACGATTTTCCCAAGGAGTTTGAACACCAAGTGCAATGGCAACAGGTCATGTGGTCTATGGGAAATACTGAAGGTCAACAGCAAGCTGCTGATCCAGGAAATCTGGGGCTGGAGCCATAAGGCACACCAGAAAAAGAGTGGTTTTTCAGCACCTATGTGAGGCATTATAAGATAAATAGAAAATTAGTGTGGTTTAGCCCAATACACCTGTACACCATTCCCCAGCTGCCTTTGGGAACATGACAAAAACTTTCTACCAACTCTGTTACAATTAAGAGGGTGGTCATAGCCAATCCCACAGCCATCCAGGCCAGCTGGGCTCTTTGCTTGATTGAAATCCAGATCTTTCCTGGCACGTTTCTGTTCAAGTATGGCTTATGCAATTAATAAGCAGGCAAAGGAAGAAAAAGGGCTATAAAAATAAGCACAGAATAAACAGAGATTGGCCACGAGAAATACTGATGTGAACAAAAAGATATATAAATAGACATAGAGGTAAAACTTCAGAGAATATACCTGCCAGCAAACATGGTTTCAGCCTGAGCTGCAATTTCATCTATGTCAGGAACAATTGCTGGGGAAAAAAAACAGAAGGAAAAAAAAAAAGGAAGCCAATGATCATCATTTGATCTGCACAGCAAAATGGAATTCTGTTCCTCTTTAAAGCAGATGGTAACAAGTAAAGGTCTAACCAGTCATTCCCCAACTACAAAGCAAAATTTGCTTTCTGCAAGAGTAGCAGAGAACAAACAGGAGATAAGGCAGAGTTAAACTGTGTATTAGTATTCCTGAGGAAGAGAACTGTAGTGATGAAGCCACGTGGTGCTGGAGCTGTACTAGCCACCAGCAGTGGCCCACAAATTATACAGATTGTCAAACTTTTACATTTTTTTCTTACGTGAGCCAACCCCAACAAAGCACATACATGAACTTTAGAATATTAACTATAAACTCATTTATTTACTACACGATAATTTTGCTTTAGAATGGCTTTAATATAATTTATTTCTTAAAACTTTAGTACCCCTGTATTATACATATGCTCACCCCCAACTAGACAACTCTCCCCTACTGGCAGGGGTTCAAACAGACCTTTTGAGCACTTCTGTGTGCATGGGAAGGCTCCCTGGAAAGCCAAATCACTCCTGTACCACGTTCACCTCACTTAAACCTGTCCTCATCCATCCCCAACCATTCTCCACTTGCCACCATGCAGTGTTTTGGGAAGAGCACAAATAAAAGAACAAAATACCATACTGGGAAAAAATGAATCACTTTTTTACTAGAGGAGGATAGGTCAACAAAAAAAAAAATTTGTGGAATTCCTTAGAATTTTATTTTTTTACAAGCTTTTCTACTTGCAGCAGCCTGTATCTTTCTGCTGCAGTTGAGCTCAGTGTCTGCAGTCGCCTACTCAGAATTACTTTGCATTGAAAGAAAATAGCAAGGTTTACCTGAGGCAGTCCCTGGTGTGTCAGGTGGAGATGATGTAGAGCAGTCAACGTTTTCAGTGTTTTCCCCAAACTCTCTCTTATAGATAGACAGCATGTAGGATATTCTGTAGTCCAGTCTAACACTGAGAATAAACTATTAAAAAAAAAAGTGAAGTAAATTAATTTTAAACAATCCATTACATTCGCCAGTTTTCTGTGATTCCTTTCTTTACCCTGCCCATCCTGAGACATGTTGAACTCTGCCCTATGGATTACTGAGTACCACTGGTGTGTCCAGAGGCTCCAACACACTGCCTTGTTCTCACTGCCTGTGAGGCAGATCAGAATCTTCAAACCCACGCTGACATCAATTATTTCATATTTCAGCTGGATTTCCAGTGCCCCATGGAGTGGAATAGAGAGCAAGCACAACAGGCTCGAGGCTTATCCTCTCTATGCCTAGAAAATGCCTTTTTGTTCCTCAGCTGTGAAACTGGAAACTCGTACAGGAAAAATCCTAATTCAGACCTGGAAGTGCTGCTTTTATATTGGAATAGCAAGGAAAATAACTAGGCTGGAAGCATTAGTATCAAATTAAGGGCTGCTTCTTACCCACAGGAAACACAAGCACATAATCAAACATCTTTAGGATCATTTAACATATTTTACAATTGGTGGGGATGAAAGACATGCTGAGTTTCCAGGGCTGAGGTGACAGGTGATCTGAAAGGTGACTTAGCAAATGGTGGCAACCTGTTTGTTTGATCTACAACTAAAGCCAAACACGCTTCCCAGACCCACTGTAATAGGATTTGTCTATTTTGGTTCCATGATTAAGTTGCCCCAGAATTGTACAAGCAAGATTTTTAAAAATAAAAATTTCCCAAGTCCTTGCATAGTCGACTAAGTCTATCAGACCATCTGTTTAATTCTGGCTGAGGGCAGAATAGAAATTATAAGTTTAAAAGTCCTTACTTAAAGCAATAGGAAGATATGTTGAGAATTAAATTACTATAAACTGAAATATTTTTGAGAATAGAACAGCTTTAATCACCATTGTACTTGCTATGCGTGTTAGTACAATAAATCTAAAATATTCTTACTCGCCTTTACGAGACTAATAACACAGTAATGAAAGGTAACATGATTTAAATTAATCCTTCTTCATTGCATTTTAAACAAAACTGAATTATTTTGTATTTCTTGTGGGCTAGGACCATATATATGCACATTTACTGGGATTCACCCAGCATATGACAACTTGCTTATCTGAAGTAATTTGACCATATGCCTAATCCTTAACTAACAAGCCACAGATTAAGTAAAAAATTGGGATTAAGTGCTCTTCAATCCTGAGTGCTCTTGCAATGAATGTGCTGTGGAAAAGGAAAGGATGAGACAAAATATGATTCCCTCAGGGAATGCACAGGACAAGGTCCTGGAATCATCCTCCTAGGCATTGACCAGTAAAGCAGGACAGTATGGAGAGAAATTCAGTCATAAAAACAAGGAAAAAGCAAAGCAATACACATGAATGGTGTTGTTAAAATCATATAATTTCATAATACTCTCTCTCTCACTGTAAGTTTTAGTGTAAAGGAGGCCTGGAACCAAAGAATGCAGTATTGAGTATATTCTAACAATTGATTGCCTTTCAGATGACAAGTAATTAGAGTCATCTAAATAATTTATGAGCAGTCAGAACAAATGGAATCCTTCAAAAGTGACACTGGCACCAACAAATCCAGAGAAATTATAGAAGACACTGAAACATTCCTTCAGGGCCTAAGCATTGCAGAAACCAGGATTTGATACACAGAGCAAGCGTGTGCCACTTCACTTATTAACAGCACAAAAGGAAACTGCACCTCAGGAGGCAGGCTGGTGTCACTCAGCTTGCCAGGTCAGCTAGGAGAAAAATCACAGCAGCCCACAGACTGTTTTCAGCCCAACTGTGGAAGTCTTAAATGCATTAAATGCAAAATTAAATTAAATTAAATGCAAAAGTGTGCAGCCTCGCACAACTTCAGTGGAGTCAAGGCCAGTTCTGCCCTTCATCCAACTACTGCAACAGAGGGGTCAAATGCTCAAATCAAGCAACCATCCCAGTGTTAAATGAGTGTGAAAGAAACTGGAAACAGACACACTGTCTTCAGGAAACATTAGTGAGGCAGATCAGAGGACAAGTTCTGTGTTGCACAGTTACAGTGAGGAATTTTCTGCAGCATCCTGTCCCTTCAAGAGTGAAGTCGGTACAACAGGGTGAGGACCACGACTGCACAGTTGTTCACACAGAGCACTATCCTTCCTCATATCAAGGAATCATTTCTACAGTGAGCAGCCCAGTGAATAGTAAGAATGTAGGTAACAGAACTAGCCACTATGTGAGTAAAGAACCATGAAATGAGTGCTGTGTTTTATGCCACCCCTCATTATTACCTGCAGAATCTCAATGATTTTCAATTTGGTGTCCATTACGATCACATCTTCACTGTCTGCAGTGCTGGCTTGCTTGCTTGGGTGAATGCTTGGCTGTATGTCAGGGGTACTGATGGGAAACACAGACCCTCTGCTCAGCACCATTTGGGTCATCATCTCTCCTACCCCATGGATGGTCCTCATGACGTTATTCCCTGTGCATTAAACAAAAACATGGACATATTTCCTAGGACTAAAGCATGTTTACAACACTGTATATCACACATACACTCCTCTGTTGTCTTTCCAGTCTCATATAATATGTCTTTCCAGAGACATATTGAAAAAGAAGCCCTCAGTTCCTGAGTTCATTCAAATTACCTGATTAGGCAAAAATTTTTCTTCACTGATTTTCCAAGATATCAATTCTTACAGGTCCACTGATGGTAAATATGCCAAAATATTTCCAGAGTTCTGTTTACATGTTCAACAAATGATAAAAAGTAGAACTAAAGAAATCTCACCCGTTCCTTTGCCTGAAGGTGCATTATCCACATGCAAGATCATTTCTTAGAGAGGTTTAACCTGTTTTTAAGAATATTTGCAAACTGAGTGTTGCATATCCAATATTATAGAGCATCCCTAGGAGAGCAATTCCAGTACCTGACTATATTTATCATTAGAAAACCTTTATTGGTATTTTGTTAATACCATCTATTGCTGCAATCTGGAGGCACATGGGAGGAGTTTCATACATCACACTGAAAGAGAATAAAGAGACGAGGTTGTGCCAGTCTGATTAATCTCTTTGTGTGGTTCAAATGGCAGGCCACAACCTAAACCAAACTGACACAACCAGCCACCAATCCCCCTTCAAAAAAAAGTCCCAGAAGAATGTCAGGCTTGAATGCTGTCCTGAAGGTGAAACTGGTATCTATAATCATAGTGCCTTTTGTTATTAATGAAGGAAAAAAATATTTTACACTTATGTGGTAAAACTTTTATCCAGGTTGCAATGGTATAACTGCAAAATCTACCAAGAAATACCATCTGTTCCCACAGATTATACTGGTTTTTATAGTGAATTTTGATGGGAAAAGCATCTCAGTGAATCAGTGACTTCCTTGCAAAGGTGGAACAAGAAAGCATGAGAATATTGTGCTACCTACCTACATGAATTCGTTTCCTTTCTTGCAAAGCACAAATAGGAATGAATGGAGGAAAGGAAAGGAACAACAGCATTTCTTCACAGGAAGAGTACCAGGACCTAGTCTACACTAAACTCAAGGAAAAGACTGAAGGATATGTAGCTTTGCTGAAAGAAGCCTGAATAATTCTTGTCTGTCCTTTAGTACACTTTGATCACCATGCCACAGCCAAGCTTTACTCACACTGAAGAAACCCTTTTCCCACATCATCTGCTGTAAAAAGCCAAGGCTGGATTTTATTTTGTTGGCAAAATCTTAATTTAGACCCTTCTTTCTTCAATCCATATAGTTCAACTACAATGTGTATGAAAAGAGGATGCCTTTAGCCCTGACTTTAAAAGGGAGACATGCAAAGAGGGTGCTTTTTCAAAGTAAATGAGGCAGATTAGTGTCAGCTTTGAGGTCCCATTCAGCATGCGGTCTGGTGTGCAATCACTCTGATTCGGTCTTTTGGAAATAATACCTCAAGTCTCTACAAAAGAGAGGGGAAAAACCGTAGTTCTGATTTTGCATGATTAGGGAAAGAAATACCTAGAAGTCAAACTACAGGCTGAATCCTTCACAGTAGGCAGGCACAGAAAGTTCTAACTGCTTACACAGACATAAAGCAAATAAAATCATCACAAATACAATTTGTGACACAAAATGAAAATGGTGGTTTTTTCTTCTCAAATCAAGCAAAACAGTGTGGGAATAATATGGGATGGATATCTCTCTCCCATTCCCCAGCTCCTTTCTCCCAGTGTGCTAAACAAGTATTTGTATTGATCACCATTCAGTGCACCTGTGCAAAGCTACAGTACTACATGGAGGACTTTCACCCCTTAAAGTACCTTCAGTTAAACCAACATCTTGTGTCCTCTTCATCTTCAAACCATGAAATAAATGAAATCCATTTCATTCTGTCCTTAATGCTGACAGATAAGCCCACAACAAGATCTGTAACTTGGGCAGCTGCATCATGGCCTGCAATACCCCTGCCACACACCTCAGTTGAGAAGCAATCATCATTAAACATTATTTCAAAATCCCTTTTGCTCAGTTGTGCAGAGGGAAATATAAACAGAGGGCATTTGGAAAGAACAGGAATTCTTTAAAAACAAACTGCAGTCAATGGGGTTAATGATAAGGAAACCACTTAGGTCTAAGACAAGTCCAGAAGATATTCTTCTCAAAAACAAGATACAACTACAGTTTGTCCCAAATGAGGAAGAAGAATTCCACTTCATCTTGAGAAGTTCCTGCTCACCCTTCAAGAAATCAACTCGGTGTAAAGCTAAAAACAAAGTTAGTTAGTGTATTTTGGACAAGATATCAGACAACATCTTGGGTGGACCTCATGTTCTTGGAGAGAGAAAGCTGGGATTTTGCCCAGACCATATCATGCTTATTTCTCAGCTATTACTGGGATGATGCACAGGCATGGCAGGGAGTGGGATTCAACTCCTTCCATGAAAAAGGAATTAGTCACTGTCTCTGCATTTCAGGATGACTTCCACAAAAGAGTAGATCACTTCTTCCACCTCTAGGAGGGACAGTGAGAGGCCTGAAATAGCAAAGACTGTGAAACTCAGGCAATGTGATACTGGAGCCTAGAAAAGCACCTAGGAAACAAAAAGAAATTAGGTGACTGCTGTCCTTTCCTGTTACCCACAGAACACCAGTGGTCAAAGGTAGCTGCCTCTCACTGGTTTGTGCCATGAGGCTGCTTCCCAATGGTGTCAACAGTAAGGATAAACCCTCTATCCACAGCATTCCTTCACTATTGACCTTAATGCAACTGATCTCAAAAGATAGAGGTGGGAAAGTGAAGGAGGATCAAGGTGGTACTTATTATCCCCACCATTTCAAACAGGATTTCGTTAATGCATAGGAAAGGATTTTAGTAAGAGAAAAGTCTATTTAATCCAGTATTTACAGTTGAAATGGGTAGTGATTCAATACTGCATTATTTCTGTCAATAACAGCAGGGAGACAAGGTGTCATCTTGGAAAACTTTTTAACCAACTGCCTGATGCTGACTATAATTTTCAGTTAGTTCAGAGCAGGCTTGAAGAAAACATTCCCAGAGTTAAAATGCTGTAGAAACTGGAGCAATTCAGCATTTCTTTTCAAGAAAAGTATTTCAACAACTTTGTTTTGCAGGGTGCTGATGCTATGCAACCCTCTCCAAGGAGCAGACAGCAGTCAAGCAGCACATTCATGGATAGTAGTGAAGAGCTGATGTGTCTCAAGACTGAGAGGAGCTGCTCTTACTATGTGAAAGAAGCCATGGACATATTTCATGTACATAAGGAGTGGGCAGCAGCTTCTCTTCCAAAAGATCCCCCAGTAATCAGCACTGGTGATGCTCAGTATTATCTGCCCAGCCTTGGAAGCCTGGACTGTGTTAAGCATAGATTTAAAACTGTCAGGCACAAGCACGAGGGGCCAGCAGCAGTCCTGCTTTCACATGGCTGTCCCAGCAGGGAAGGGTGTGCTTCCCTGAGGTAAGACACACAGGAAGGTTACTGCAGCTTAAAAAGGGACTGGCTCTCTGTCAGCTAAGCCTGCAACAATGCAAGACAAAATAAACTGGCTCAGTAAAAGAGATTTAAGTTCTTAGTACATGTGCACACAATGACTAAAATAAGGGAGCTCTGATCTTAGTCACATCTCCAAAGTGCTTCCTGAATACCAATGACCAAGGAAAAATTAACTTACTGCCTCAGCTAGTTAACTGAGATAAATCAGGAGAGAGCGCAAGTAGATGTGAACCCTGATTACTTTTATGTGCACTTTGCTAGAGATAAGTGAAGAGAAGCCTGAGCTGTGCCTCCATATGGTACTGCCACCCTTAACCTGCTGACCTCATCTTTGGCTGTTTTCTTTAAGGTCAAGGTACTAACATTTATATATGGCTGTGAAGCATGGCAGGGAGAGAACAGTCCTTGCAATGTTGTGAGGTGCTAATGTGTGCAACCAACCACTTCTCTCAGCAGCAAACTGCTGCAGAAGTGCTCAGAGCCGTGACTGACCAAGAGAGGAAAAGAACACAAGGAAATCTCCTTGAATCTTTTTGCAATTTTCCCTTCTTCTCTGTTCTGCCCTCTGCTAAGACAAGTCAGATGCCAAAAGCCTTCCCTTCCATAAGCAGTGGACTTATTAGAAATGTCTCCTATTGAATGTACAGTCTCAACAAGATTAGTCAATGGAAGAGTGAATTCACTATGCACAAGTGGTAATTTAAAGGAGCTGCAGATTGACAGACACTGAAAGAAGAATAAAGAAGTGAATGCTTGTCATGTTTTGAATAGACAACTGTGCATCTCCTTTTCATTACTTTTTATTACAGTGATCACAACTTCCTAATGAGTATCAGTTTCTGTCACAAAACTGTAGCACATAATCTTATACAATTTGGCAGGATTGACAACACAGCGGCCTCTCTGAGAAGAAAGGCTTTTCAGAGGAGTCAATTATGGGGAAAAAAATAACAACCACCCAAGTAATCGAAACAGTGGATAATTTGACACTTCATTTTCTACATAAACATATTTTCTTGATAAGTCATTTACTGGTTGCAAAAATTCTAAAAGCAGAATATAAAAGTAAACAACAATCTGCTATGCAATACAGTATGGATGATAAGTGACAAAATACCATATTCAGTAAGAAAAACAACTGTCAAAGGCAGCTGGCAATTCATGCCTTTTCTTCCAATTGTTCCCAGCCCATTGCTACGGAGCATCCTCAGTTTGCTCTTCAGGACCCACAGAATTTTGAATATTTCACACACAGTGCAGAGAACCATGCAGAAGCTGAGGGTGAATAGTCAGTGGAAGCATCAAAGGCTGGCAGATCCCCTTAGAGCCAGCAATCTTCTGCTCCACAGAAATCCCCAAGATGCCAGGGAACCAACATGCACCCTTGTTTATTTAAAAATTACCTATAGGCACCTGATCTGGTCCCTAGTTGCCGTGGGGGGACAGAGCCTGCTCTTACAGTCATTGCTGTTCAGTCTTCCT